GTACAGACTCTGTTCTCGATTTCTGATGTCGATGTGTTTTAAATATTGCGTTAACGAACACACATGGCAAGATTCAGTCAACAAGAAAGGGAAATAAATTTTTATTTGTACTGTCATCTTCTCTGTCATGACGTGATATTATTCTTTAACCAAAATTTCGGAGGAACCTACCGTCTCCGTCTTCAGAGTCTGACTGCAGTTACGGGTTAAATAAACATTATAAATGGTTTTGTTCTTGAGCTCGGTTTTCCCCTTACACTTCAATGAACACGGGCGCTTTGCAAAGAAAGATTTGAATTTGAAGTGTGGATATTTAAGCTGATAAGCAGTTACCTTCATGCGAAATTTCAGGTTCTCGCGGCGGTGAGCACGAACATGGCTGTCTTCCGGGTTGTAACTCTGTCATCACCCATCGGCGTGATGATGGAAGCAGCAAACACCTCCGAAACGTCGGTGAAGTTCTGCCTGACTACACGATTGTGTCGAGCTTTATGGCGGGCAAAGTGAATCTATTGAAACGTTTTCAGGGCTGAAAATATCCTCATGTGGTCTTTGCAAAGTGCATTTGGACGTATTAAATCGGCCTTGTTCGATAGCTCCGAATTCGGCCACCAGATCGCAGCAACTCTTTGTCCACCTCCACGACTTTCGTTATCCGTCGTTTTTTAATCGCTGCATGCAGGATATTAAAAATATTATTCTGAGGTCGTGCAGAATAGCACAGCCTCCGGTAGCTCTCGGGTTTAATCGACTGGACGGACGGACGGACGTGACCAGCCTATTGCGCGTCCCACTTAAGTTCACGTATCGTCTCCGCCGCGTTCACACCTGTGAGACGTAACAAATGAAGGAGTACGTTTTTATTTACCCGCAAATGCTCGTTGCATGAGGTTCAGGCCTGGACCTGCCTTCGACGACAATCTGCAGGCAGGTTCTTTGTTCTCTTTGATTTCGGAACTTTTTCTTCTTGCTTTAAAGCTCTGGTTCGTTCTGGCAGACGGAAGGGCGCCACAGCGTACGAAAGACAGTGCTGAGAAGAGAGGGGGAAGGAACGAACAAAGCGTGAGGGCGCAGACAGCTTGGCAACGCTTTCACGAGAAAATAAATAAGATTGCGGGGGGCGGGGGCGGGGCTTGTTCCTTCACGCTGAATTCCTTTGGTGTGACTCGGCGTGACGCAGTGCCACAGAGCGAACTGCGGAGACAAAGCTGCGAGTGGCCAGCTTGTTGCTCCGTTCGTTTTTACTCCCGGAGGGTGGGAATGACCGAGCAATGGGTGAACGCCATGGTTCGTGCCCTGCACCGTCCGTCTCCAAATCGAATAGTCTGACCTGTGACACGCGTCAACGAGACTACAAATGCTTACGATATTTTGATTAGTTGTGGAAGTGACCACCAGAAAGATGCAGATCAGTGGATAATATTAAGTGGACTCGGTTTGTGTGGGAGGGTTTGAGGTTTTCACGGCTGTCAGTACGAAGTTGGCTCTAAAACCCAGAAAATAGCCATCTTGGATCTGTGTCGCTTTCGATAGAGACCACCGACCGGCTTTTGTGAAGATTGTAATGAATCTCCGGGTTACATAAAACGGGGAATATCTTGAGTGGCTGAGTGACTGTCAGCTTCTAAAAAGGCCACTGTCTGCTTCTTGGAGTCAGTTGTTCGGTCCATTTCTTTATACAGATGGAGTGGCTTGCAAAGAAACGGTTCATGTCATCCGAATCTACTGGAGACAAGACAGAACTAACTAATTCTCATTACAGTCCATAATGGACTTTTTCCGCAAAAAATGGTCCATTTAGGCTCTCAAATAAATCGGCAACCCTGGTTCAGGACCGACCTGTGTCTACAACTCAGGACAGACTGATGCATACTTGTCACGGCATATAAATGGGATTTCCCCAAGGTCTGACCGGAGCTCGATTCCCGGCAGGGTGAGAAATGTTTTGTGTCCGTCACCATTGAGTTCCCACCTACATCCGGTTTCCTATCTGATCCGTACCTGCGCTCTTTCTCCTTTGTCTGGTGCAGAGAATAAACATGGGTGGAGCTTTAACCCCGCTTTCCCAAAGCCTTCGAGACGCGGGGACTTGGGGTTTAGACACAGGGACAGCTTCCGCCCGCTTTATAATTTCATTACGGGTGTTCGCCATCGTGATTGGTTGTTATTAGCTGACACCCGAGTCACAATTAAACTGCACTAAATGCGTTATACCTGCGCACCACAGAGATTGTATCGCCATAACATCGAGGTGAAGATTGGGACACTCTCGCGTGTGGCCGTGGAATTACGAATTCTCACGCTGTTCCAAAGAATTGTGTTAGTCTGTGTTTCGTATGTCTGTTGCCAGTATGAATCGAGCTACGAGAGTGTAAAATAAGCAGGGAATTATAATAATATGCAGGTTCGTCGTTGTACAGAGTGTGCACAGAGGGACTTCGTTTTACGCAGCTATAATTTTGTGTATAAAATTTAAGCAAACGACATGCAGTCCTGTGACCGGAAAATGCTTCACTGCGAATACGCTGATCAACGGTGAAAAAGCGTGCAATTTCGAAACAAATTCTCCTGCAGCTGGGACAAACAGTCGTCGGTTTTTTCTCAATCGACGTTTCTAACATGTTAGAAACGTAAAATGTCAGTCAGTGCAGTCAGAGCGATTGTAGTTCAAGCTTCCGGAAGTGCCCATGTACTTGCACTTTGCGGGGCGCATTAGGGTGTAACCCTACACCAGTCCGGCTTGTTTTAATGTTATCAAAGGGCCGGAAATGAACTGCAAAGAAATTGAAATGGACCATTTTGTGGTTCTTCAAGTAGGAAAACGGCTAACAGCAAACCTGCTGTTGATGCAGGGAGCGGCTTGGTTTTTTATTAATATCTCTTCTTCGAAGTGGCGTTCTGTGATTCACGCATCGGGCATTTCCGGCCCGTGAGGTGGCTTGAAGGGTGAGCTGAACCCATACTAAGACTGTTTGTTCTCGACCTACGTGTTTTAAGTGGAGCTCAGAACTGATTAAAATGCAAAACTTAAACAAAAATAACCACACAATAAACAGAAGAAAATCACAGACAATTAAAGACGTGAGCGGGGAAGTAGCAGTCAGGTGTGGGACTTTATATTGGGTGTAATTTAGTTATATATATATGCCGATTCCCGGCGGTGCCCGAATTTATAGCTTGTGTTGGGCAAGGCCGTGGTCTAGGCAACACGGAGTTTTCCTCCGTGGCATCCCAACAATTACTCCATTCACACACAGAAGAAGGCAATGGCAAACCACTTCTGGATCATCTGCCAAGAACGTATATGAACAGGTCCCAGTCCGAGAAAAGGATGGAAGGATCCTGTTCATATGGACCTGTCGTCAGACAGAACACTAAATAATAATAATAATAATATGCCAAATCTGGGTGATTTAGTTTCCTTTATTTACGTATTTTTGACCATGAATTCAATAAGTCCCGATATACAGAAGTAACCTCCTCAACTCACCGTAGTTCTGAAGATGTTATTTAAACCACATGTATAATGTTAATGGATAGAATATTTACTGGGCAGAAACAACCCTTAAAAGCCCAGTGGTAAATATATGTACCAGTTGCTTGGACAGTAAGTAACTCTGTGTTGTCTCGTATTTTTGTCGGTGCAAGCAGCTAATATTATTTCCTTAAACAGCATTATCATTGTCATGGAGACACATTTTGTTTCCTTTGTCATATGGACTGAAATATGAGTTGGTGATCTTCGACTTCAAAAGTATTACACAACTCCTCTCGTTTCAGTAGTATTCCTTACGTCGCCCTAGTATAGCTTCTTTCTTCATAGTTCCAGCATCCGTCGGTCGAGCGCCACAGTCTGGCCTTGTACTGCACATGGGTCGAGGTACGAGGATGGAAAGTGTACACAGTGTTGTCATAGCAACTGTTCGCAAAGTTTTATCAGGAAATACGTAATGGTATCAGCCCGTCTGACACACAACACATCAGTGCTATTTACTTAATCCGGCAACGGTTTTACCCATTTGAACGATAACATTTGTTTCAATCCAGCAACACGTTTCGATGTAACAACCATCTTCATGGTCATTTAAAATCTAATTCCCAGCAAGCACCTGAGATAACAGAGAACTTCTACGGGAACTGGTTGTTAAAAAGCAGTTTCCCGGTCAAGTAAGGCCCAGCGAGATCCATGGTACGGGAATCTTGATGATAACGAAAACAGGACGCAATTTGCGTTGTACTTAATACAGATTATGCACGGAAATTCGTAGTGAATCGCGTAGTTAGTGAAACTGTTGGGAAACTAGACTTGTTTCTCATAACCAAACCGGGAGAGGGGACAGAAAATCGACACAACGACCTCCTGAGCCCACCGAGCGTTTCACTTCTTCGTAACAGTTTTGTCTACCCTAGGGAAATAGGATTTGAGGTTTTCGCGGCGGTGATTCTGAAGATGGCTGTCTTCTGGGTTGTTGCGCCATATAGTCTGGCAGCAAGGACACGGCGCTACACCCCAGAACCCAGAAGACAAGCCATTTTCGTACTCACCGCCATGAGAACAACAAATCCTTGCACAATATTTCCTCAAGATCCGTCTCAGTATTATTCTCCCGTCTCGCAAGTGACCGTGACGTTTTCCGATTGAAACTGTGTTTACTAAGCGTCTCGTCTCTCTTCTCCCACCCGGTTGATCGCCATAACAATGTCTGTAATGTTTTTATTTGTACACAACAGCAGAGCAAACTCTCAAACAACGCGCGTTTCCGCTCCTCACTTGTTTTTCCACTATGACGTCAATAATTCGACCGTGATTGGTTCTTGCACAATCATCCGAGTCGCTCCATTGGTCTATTTAAATGAGACCCGTTTTGTGTCGAAGAGGGGAATGAAACTGGTCGTCCGAGAGAGACAGAGACTAACATGCCAGGCAGAGCCAGGACGAAGAGTAGGATGACGCTGTAAACTTGGCTGTTCCCCTCCGCCCCGCACGGGCGGAGGGGATGAGGCTCTAGGGACGCCACCGGCAGTTTGCGAGCAGGAGTCGTTTGTGTAGGTTGAGTTTGTGTGTGTGCGGGTTTTCCAATTACGGAACGTCGAAAATTAATTTCGAATTTCTTGTAGCCTGCGACGATGTTGATACTGAAGTGACGCTCAAGCCATCTTGGAAATTGTGAAGCACAAAGTTGGTTATTTTGTTTTCATAACAAAGCGTACTTGTGATTTGTGAGTTTCGTGTGCGCCGCTGAACAAGTTTTGGCCGTTGGATTTCAACTTCATTTGTGACGAAGGTGTTCCGAGCTGCGAAGTGATAACTTGTTGAACTATGAGTGCTCGTGTTTTCAACCCAGTCAACATGTCAGAGATGCGCAGGATGCTGCGAGGTGCCGGAGGTGTGCCAGAGAGCGGGGTTCAGTCCCCGACTGCTGTGGGAACACTTCGCAGACCAGATGGCGCAGCCATTGCGAGGGTGCGTCGTACCCTGTTCGGTCCCGTTGACCACGAAGATATGCGTCGGTTTGTTGACCAGGAACTGGCCACACAACAGGCCCGGGATGCCGAACGTTGGGGTTTCGACTTTGTGAACGAGAGGGAGCGAAGCGTTGGACCCGGAACTAAGCGGTACGTGTGGGAGAAGGTGATGCCAGAAGACAAGGTTCCAGAACCGTACGCTCTGCGGGGCATGGAATATCTTAGCAAATGCGCGATTCATGGCGAGGTAGTGGCCGCAACGTCCGTGCCTGCAACGGCAAGCACCAAGCAGACAACAGTGACAGGTAATTCGGTTTATGATTCGCTAGTTCACTGGGCATAT